TAAATTTTGAATCTCCGAGATCATATTCAAAGGAATTAACACTAAATTTCATCCAGGCTGACCTATTTTTGAGACCGGTTATTATTTATCACTAATAATATTCTTATAATCCCTCTTTAGTAGCAGTTAATAGGCAATAAATAATAATAATAATAATAATAATAATAATAATAATAATCCATAGTGCCCTTCATACTTTGCGACGACTGATCCACTTTCCGTTACGCCTGAAAACCTTGTGATTGCCCCAAATCTTCGAATTTTCACCCTCTCTCCCCGCGCGCGATAGAAAATGACTGGTGACTCATATATAGAAACTGTACCTGGCACTAAGCACTCCGAGTTTTCGATCAGTTGTACGTCTCCATGGAAACCATTCCTGAATGAGCCCCAGCTCAACTCCGTCCCCCAACTGGAGCGACAATCACGTGACAGGGTCACTATAGTGTTAAAATCCAAAAGAATATCCCAGAAGTTGACACCTGTGATTTTCCCTACAAACGATTTTTCCAGGACAAAATTGCTTTTAGAATCATCGAGACCCTGTCCGACAATGAAGTTCCCAGAAATATTTAAAATGCGGTCTGTTTTCAAATTCATCACAGTAGAAAGTTCTCCATCACTATAAATATTTACACTAACAGCTAATCTGCGCCATGTGAAACAAACGTGATGCCATTGGTTGTCTGTTAGTCGCAGACTTGTTGTGTTCCTGAAAAAATTAATGAGAATAGAGTCAAAATTACCAGGTTCACGTATTGAAAAGAAAAACTCGCCATCATTTTTCCCAAGAGAGCATGATAAAAAATCATGCAATCTGATTGTTGCAAACCTTAAAGCGGGAAATCCTTTTTCTTATCTCTGCCCAAAAACCTGAGTTACAATAGAGCGAGGAGTTGTTTGGCGGTTGAGCGTGATGAGTGCAGTTCGTAAAAATATTTCGATCAGGTTTGCTGCGTCGTTATCGCATGATACTCACCCTTTGTCCTCACCGTATCTGATATCCAGATTGCCATCTGAAGATACCGCGAGAAGAAAACTGTCATTCATGGAGTCTTTATTGTACGGGACGTATTGAAAGAGAGTTCCCTTTTCTTCCGTCTTATACCATGCACATGCTGTGAACCTCTTCACAGTGTCTTTGACCGAAAAGCTGGTGTTGGCAACATTTTTTGTCGAACGGGTCGGAAAGTGAAGAGTGAAGTCACTTTCTTCCTCTGCAGACAGTAATATCAAATTTACACATGAATTATTAATCATCACTCTGGTAAAATTTTTTTATCGATATCTAAATTCAGTTACCTCCTAGAAAAGCCGAAGCCAGTCCTTTTTATAAAAGAGAGAAATATTGTGTGATTACGGTTTGATTTATTTATAAGTATTAGGGGGGCACTATGGTAATCAGCCAATAAGGAAAGAGGATTTAAACCACGTAATACTCACGAACCAATCATTGAAGTATATGATTGGTTCATTTGTTCTACGTGATACAAAATACTCTTCTCTGACTGATTGTACCAAAGTGCCCCCTTATTTACTAACCCACTATCCGACCTTGCCAAGAGTTTCCTTAATGATACAGCTTTTATAACACAACTCCTGAGAAAAATCTCCTAGGAAAAATGTTTCAGCACATCTTCATGGGAAATACCTTTATGGACGTCTTCTGAATTAATAGCTTCCTTCAGAGGTAAAAGCGCTCCTGGAATATCATCCTTAAGAGCAAACCAGGAAAAGACGTTTCCGCTCTCTCTGCCATTTCCTCGGTATAAGGCGACAATGGTACGTTTCTCCAAGATAGTTCCCCAGATATTAAGACCACCCACGTAACCAGCTAGTGCAGATTGACCGAAAGCTCTTCCTAAAACCAATTTGGTTTGTGCTGGGAAGGAGTAAACGCGTTGCAGCTCATCAATGCTGGCCACTTTACCATCCACCATAACTTCAAAATGTCCCGTTGTGGAATCCCAAAGGGAGCAGAAAAAATGTGATCGT